AGTGATCTGATCCCTGTCCCTCAGTGACTTCAGGGAGACAAGGATGAGGCTGAGATGCAAGAAGATAAGAGGACCTGATTTTAGACTCTTCATAGTCACATGGGAATTTGATGTAATCTCTCCTGCTGCACTGCCTACCAAATCCTACCTTCAAGAAGAAAATCATTAAAATTTTATCTACCATGAAAAATAATGAGTCTGGGTGATGTGGGTCTCTTCAGTGAAATATGTTACCCAGAAAGAACTGTGTGTTTCTCTTATTCCTTGGAAAAGCTTTAGCTTAGGAAACCTTCCTTCCTTCCTTCCTTCCTAGTATCTAGCATCTGTTGCAATACTAACCTAAACTGATCACCACACTCGTTCATTTTTTAAATCATGAGTTTTCAACTAATCTTTTTATTTGGATTCCACACACATGGTCCTATAATTAGAATTAGCTCTTGAAGAATACATTTCTTTAAACTTGATTTGTATATTTCCAATGTACCAAGTATCTGGTAAGTAAATTTTATAAGTGTTTGTCTTTCCTGCCCTCCAGGAACTTACAGTTCAATCACGCAAACAAGTAAATACAGTGATCAGAAATACATACTGTGAGTATGGCCACAGCAGCAGGGTGCTGAATAAAATGGTTTCATAAAGAACATGAATCCAAAGGATTTTATCTTCAAATCAGATACAGATTTGCCTTTTGTTTATTAATTGATGGTTTTATTTTAAAATGCTCAAACAGCACATTCTAATGTAACAAACATTGATTTGACAAATGATTGAGTTCCGTAGGGCTCTACGATCATTTAGATAAATCTCTCACTTTTTCATAACATTGATAGATTTTAAAGAATCTTTTTTTGTTTGTTTTCTTACTCCTTGCCCAAAATATATATTTGTTTGTTTGTTTGTTTGTTTGTTTATGGGTCTTGAATCCCAGGTTTTTACACTGAGATACATCCCCAGCCCTACCTTTTTTTTTTTTTAATTTTCATTTTGAGACAAGGTCTTGCAAAGTCACTAAATTGCCCCAGCTGGGCTCAAACTTACTATCTTCCTGCCTCAGCCTCTCAGAATGCTGAAATTACAGGTGTGCAATCCTGCTTCCCCAACTTTTAATAGAAGGTGATGTTTCAAAAAGACAAAAGTGTGGAGGAAAGATAGCCTCTTTAATAAATGGTGCTGGAAAAACTGGGTTTCAAGTTGCCAAAGATTAAAAACTAGACCTATATGTCTCACCATATTATATATATATATATTACATTTTAAACTAAAAATGATCTAAAATTAAATTAAATTTAGATCTAAAGAACTAAATATTAAAGCAGAAGCACTAGACCAGCTGGAAGAGAGGTTAGGCAGAACTCTTGAAGAAACTGGCATAGGGAAAGACTTCATGAACAAATCCTCTGTCCTGAGAACTAGCACAACTGGAATCAACAAGTGGGATTTCATCCTATTAAAAGGTTTCTGCACAGCAAGGGAAACTAACAACAGCATGAAGAGACAACCTACAATGTGGGAAAAATTTTTACCAGCTGTTCCTCAGACAAAGGTCTACTATCTAGAATATATAAATAACTTTTAAAAAATCATACTGCTCAAATTTAAAGACCCAATCCAAAAATGGGCATATGAAATGAACAGACATTTCTCAAAGAAGTAAAAACAGTAAATAAACCTATGAAAAAATGTTCAACATCACTGGTCATTTGAGAGATGCAGATGAAAACAACACTGAGATTCCACCTCACCCAGCAAAGAATGACTACTATCAAGAAATCAAACAATAACAAATGTTGGCAGGGTTCTGGGGAGAAAGTAACCCTTCTCCAATGTTGGTGGGAGTGCAGACTGGTGCAACCACTGTGCAAATCAATATGGAGATACCTCAAAAAACTAGGATTAGAGGTCCCATTTGACCCAGTTATTCCCCTGTTGGGTATCTTTCCAAAAGAATCATACCACAGTGATATATGCGCACCCATGTTTGTAGTGGCACAGTTTGTAATAGCTAAAACTTGGAAACAGCCAAATGCCCATCAACTGGTAACTGAATAAAGAAGATGTAGGGTTTTTTTTAACAAAATGGAGCACTACTCAGCCATAAAAAATAAGGAACTAGAGACATTTATAGCTAAATGGATGCACATTGAGGCTATACTCTTAAGTGAAATAAATAGGACACACATGCGTAAATATGTAATAGTTTCTCTGGTATGAGAAACTGAAAGTGTAAATGAGGATCAAAACAGATCATAGATAATGTTAAATAGGAATAAAAGGTCCAAAGGGGAAGGGGAAGAGGAAGTAGGAGGGGTAGGGGAAAAGAAAGAAGGAAAAGAAAATAATACTAGAAAAGGAAAAAAAAACAAAAGCAAAGTCTTTGTAAATAGGAAGGGCTGGAGGGGTTGAAGGGAGGGCAGGGGAAAGGGGAACCAAGACATATCATGTGAAGGTACAAATTCCCAATGATGAATGTCATCATATTGTATACCTAAAATGTACCAATAAGTTTAATGAATAAAAAAAGCTCTAAAGTATTTTGAAACTTACGAATAATGTAAGATAAATATCTTTCCATACGATATCTTAGAGTTAAGTATAGAAATATCAGTTTCTTTTTTTAACTTCCACATAAAATCTGCTTGGAAGAACACTGATTAAGTCTAAAAATTATGTTCTATATACTATTGGAATTGCCTGAGAATTCTATTAACATAAGATGCACTTATTTCCAAAATGTGTATATTACTGCTTGGGAAAGGAAGATTTGGTTTTTGAAGCTTATGTTTTGAAGTTAAAAATGGAGATAGTGACCTTAAGCCTCAAGATTTGTGCAGCTGGCATGCCATCTATCTCAATAATACCTAACACGAATGTCAAATAGACATAAACAGTCATGGTAAGCGGGTGCTTGCAGCTGACAGTGATTGCTGTATTTGGGGTGATAAGGAACAGCATTTCCATTAGTTCAAGTGAAATACAATGCCCTGACAACTTGAGGTATCGGTGTATTCAATCCCCCTGCTGTGTGTCCATTTTCTGTTGCTGCAATTAAAAATCAGTCAATACAAAGTCAAAATGTTGTACATTCTTCCCCTATCCCTTTCCCTGTCACTGTGTTTCCAGCCTCACCGGAAGAACATGTCACTATGGTAACCAGTCCCTCTGGTGCACAGACCTTTCCAGTCAGACTGCCAAGCAGAGTAACACAGAATCAAAGCCCTGAATGTAGCCACCAGAAGCCATGAATCCTATCCCCCTTTCTCTAAGTGGGGTCAACGGATTCCAGAGAGGAAGCCAGTTTTGTTCTAGATGATGGTCAAGGAAGGAAATTCAAGAATGTCCTTCAGCACATCCTGCCAGTGTTTACCAGTCATTATTAATGTGAATTCTACCCTGCTTTTCAGCTAACTTCCTACCATTTCCATTTTTTAAAAAGCAGAAGATGATAGTTAAAATAACACTTTATGAAGCTGCAAACTGTTATAAAGTCATCTCATCAAAAAATTCTTCTACTTCCTCTTGTTTTCCTACTTCTCAATCTAAGCTTACATTGTTCTCTTCTGGAGTCCCCCAGTATTCGGCACACCTTTATAAAGTTATAGATCTCAAAATGGGTCACCCCACCCTAATAAGAGCTTCATCATACAGCAGATGGGATGTCTGTGGCATGAACACACCCATAACTAATTCAACTGAAATCCCTGGTCATCCTAAAGAAGCTACAAAACAAACAGCAAGATGGATTCTCTCTGGACCTACCTACCACCTAAATGTGAACTAACCTCCTCAACCATACACACTGCTTGTCACTCTTAAACAAGTGACTTTTTTCAAATCAATTTTTCTTTCTGATCAGTTCAATACTTTTATAAATCAAAGAGTATCAGTTCTCACAAGCACTGTTTTCAAATATCAGCAAACCTCACAGCCATATAATAAGGGACATCACAAACTACTGCATGTCTTGTCCTCAAAGTATCTTGCAAATAGTAATATCATTGCTGCTTGGCTTCACCATTTATAGTCGAAGAGAATGAGAGGAGGTGAGACTCATAACATCTACACATCTTCCCAGGGTGCAGCCACCATGGAGGAGAACATATTCCTTTTCTCCAAGCAATATTAACACACATCACATCCAAATAACATTTTGGTGGATTTATGGAACAGGAGAGTTGCCAACACATAAATCATACAAGATTTACAAACTACATCAAATAAACAGAATTTAAGATTGACTCGATCATACTAAAGAATCAAGTACATTTTCATCTTTAGTAAATGCAGCTTTTTTGTTATGCTTTCAGTATTTTTCATATAAACCTTCTGAAAACTGTAATTTTTGTCTCTGAAATGCCCACTTTGGTGCTACTTTCTTTGTGCTCAGTCGAACCCACAGATATTCACTGCACACAAGTCCCTTTTGTCACCATTTTTTTGAAGAAGAAATAAAGAACTATGATGTTATGCTACTGCCCAACAGGCTTGGAACTGCTCAGGGCAGGGACTGTGATGTGTCGGTGTCTATATGACCAATGCCCGCACCAAGCCTGGTATAGCACGGCACTCAGCAGACGTTTCTGGTAGGAGCAAGGCCTCTGTGAGATATGCCCCCTACTTCCTTTAATTGGATCAGTTCAACATCTAAAATAAAATTAAGATTCAAAACTGTAATCCCCAACACGGCACTCTTAAGGGCTTCCTCTTAAGCACACAGCCTCATACTGTGGATTCCCTTCCTTCTCTGGAGCTAATGAAACATTAATCGGGATAAAAACCCTGGACCAGCAGGTTCCAGACAAGAGTAAGGCCAGACATGGGCAGAGAGTAAAGCCTTCATCCAGCATGCTCCATTACCGTTGTGGGAAGGCTAGGCCAGAGTAACTGCACCTCCAGGAGCCGGGATTTGGGACATTCAGGGCCAGAGGGAGGCGAGGGGCTGCAGGGCTTACCGGAGGCGACGGCTCACCGCAGCGCCACGCCTCGGGCCTCGCGCTTACCTTTCCGAATGAGGGCGGCGATCTCGGGGTCGAATCCCTGCCGGTGGCATTTCCTCCAGAGGCCCATGTTGGTGGAGTTGTACTGCCGACTGCACTCATCTACAGGGCTCATGGCGAAGAGCTGCCGGCGGTTCCGGGCCCGAAGGAGTTTGCCTTCCCAGCGGTCCAGGCGCGAGCGGCTGGCCCGAAGCGGCAAGTTGTTGTTGTTGTTGTAAATGAAGCCGGGATCCACCCGGCGGGTGTTGAAGGCCTTGCACCTGTCCCTGTGCTTCCTGGCGTCCGTCTCGTACCAGTGGTCCGAGCAGATGGCCACGGCCAGCATGCCGAGGGCGCAGAGCGCTAGCGAGAGGCCAGTGTAGAGCAGCAACCTTCCGGCAGCCATGCCTCCGCCTCGCCTATACCTTGGGCATGACCCGCCGCGGCCTCGCCTTCCTCCGCGCGCCCGC